TTCCTGAAGATGCCATCCCTCTTAAAACTCAATTGCTCCATCCAATAGTATGTGGATTTATTTACCCCCAAATGATGAATTTTTAGAGTAGAGCACACTTGGGTCTTGAGGAATAATCCTGATCACTACCAGGACTTTTCTGAGGTATCCCTGATAAGTTCTTCAAAAATAGATCCTTTCATGGAAGTTTTTCTTTCATTTTATGATTTTACAACATTCATTAGATTTGTACAGGATATTGGAATTTATACTGCCTTAGCCTCACCCTTAGATAAGAGGAAATAATTCAACTGCCTGGAACATATTAAGGTTTCTTAACATGTTACATAATGCACTTCTCAACAGGAAGCTTGCTTACCTTTGGAAGGTCCCCTCTCCTGTAGCCCAAAGCACTTTCAAGGCTTATTGACTACTTATACATACCACATTTTAAGCCACACTTTCTCAATTGGTTGCCATGGGGTTTAATTTTTAAAACAAGCAGCTGTAGCTTAAAATATTTACCAGTGGCCTTTTTTCTCAGCTTCTTTTCTTTCTGAAGTCTGCCACCTCTCATTCACATCAATGTGCAAAGGTCTGCAGGACCTATTACTCCTAGGTGTGGGAGTCCACACATGACATAGCTTAGATGAGTGGAAGGCTGCCCTCTCCTGGGGAACACTAGCTGTAGTAGACTTTTTTGGTACATGGATAGTCTATGTATAGAGGCAGTACACTAATTGCTTTGTGACTGATAATCTTGTTAAATACGAGCATGGCTGACACCATGCTTACCAGGTGAGTCTCACCAGCTAGAGGCCCAAATTGCATGAGGAGAGGAACAGCAAGATATAGGTTCCTTAGTGATTCATTCTTCTGCACAATGTTATTTAGGGAACATTTGGGACTCTTTAACAAAAAACTGTGACTGCTTCCGGGACTTTCTGGGAAAGGAAAGGACCAGGTTGTATAAAATAGGGACATGGATTAGAGGAAAGAAAAAACATGAAAACCTCTGAAGAAATTGTAAGAATGTTACTACAGGATCTCCATGGCTCTGTACCATTGAATAGATTCAGGAGCAGAAAATTTTATTAGTGGAGCTGAAGAAACTCCCACCCTTCCTACTAGAATGAGAATCCCTTCACTTCATGGAGGAATCAGTTTCCAATACTGATATAAGCAAAAGAAATGCCCTGGAAAAATTCCAGCCTGAATCTCTCAGAAGACTCAAATATGGACATGTTTATCAAGTAGGATTGGGAGAATAAAGAGTTCAGCTGATTTTAGCTAATCGTGAGTTTTAGGAAGACTGCCAGTGGAGGTGGGGAAGGAGATGGTGAGTGAATGTACTTATTGCTGTTGGTGTTTTGCTGTTTTTTATAGCCTTCAAGTTACCTCCCTTGGCTTGACTATTTCCATTTTTGAGTCAGTGATTGGTGAGCTCCAATATATTTAAAGTCACAATCCCTATAACCTTGCTTTTCCCCCCTCACTTTATAGATACACGACCTATTCCCACAGACTTTTTAAGAAGCTTGGAATTCCTGGGCCTAAACCTCTCCCTCTTTTTGGAACTGTTTTGTCCTACAGGAAGGTGAGTGTTGTTTGATATCCCTCTTTGGCAAACACTAGCCTTGTTGCATCAGTAAAAGTGCTGTCCCTTGGAGAAAGTCCTGAAA